CCCAGTTTGAAAACTCTTGTGCCAAGATGTTATGATATTTTGTTATATCTGACCATAGATTTTTTTTCTTCATATAGTTATCTCTCCAACTTGAGAGATAGTTAAGTTCTCTGTAATTGGTATTTTAATCTCAGTTGATCCACCGATGCGTGAAAAAGAATGCTATCTGGGGAAGGTCACGTTTGGTGGGGCAGGTTGCTGTTAGTCTCAGACTCTGCCCAGCTCCCCAAATCCGGGCGGAGTCGGAGAGGGCAGGTGCGGGGTCCAGAGCCCAAATGTGGATCTGAAAGAAAGCAGGGGGGAGGGAGGGAGTGGTGGTGTAGACAAAGTACAAGGGTATGGGGCTTTCAGCTCCAGGCTGAGGTCTCCAGGAAGCAACACGCCGGCGGGGCGGAGAAATGAACGCCGCACACAAGGCGTTTGCCGCTGGGTTCCTTGAGGTCCGATTTTTTTTCTTCTATGCTGAGAACCAACTGCGCCCAGGTTGTGGATGCTGGCGCGGTTAGCTCCACCTAAGCTCGTGAAAGAGGCTTTTGTCTTAGGAAGGAGGGAGGGGACATTTCTCTTGTAATTAATGGCGAAGCATTTAAGAATCTAGAAGGAGAATGTGTGTGTTGAGGGCGAGGGATTAATCTTGCTCCGGAAGATGGAACCTGTGGCCAAGAAGAGGAGCCCTCAGAAGCCGGGTCAGGGGCCCAGACCCCAGTTGGTGGAGCATTTCTGCTCCCTGAGGGGCTTCTCTAAGTCTTTCAGTCCTTCCCTGGCCTGGGAGAGAGGGAGTTAGACTTAGTGGGACCTTTAAAAAGACCACCCAGGGTTCTTAATTCAACCCACAGCCTCTCCAGCACCCCCTCCCCAGCTGAGAACCTTGCCAAGTTGCAGTCAGAGGCTGCAGGGGGCCACTACCTCAGGAGACCTGTTGCTCAGGTCAGGGTGACAAGGGATGGAGGTTGAGAATGGAGACTCTTGGTGGGAAGATGTCAAGGGCCCCAGATCTGGGATAGTGAAGAGGTTTAGCTAGGCAGCCAGAGCAGCAGATGCACTTCATTTAGGTGGAGGTCGTCAGAAGTTCCTATTGCCATTAGTATTCACATTCCCACTGAAATGAGAGCCCTTGGGTCACTTTGCACTTCCCAGGGGCTTGAAACTACCAGGCACCAGCAGGTGGGTTGGCCAACCCTTTAAGTTCGTCTCCTTCGAAATTTTCCTGGAGGACCTTGGGCCTCAGCAGTGCCCTGCAGGCTGCTCTCAAGACAAGAGAATGGAGTCGAGGTGGGTCCCTTCCTTGTGGTCGGCCCCTTCCCTGTGGTCTGAGGATACAGTGAATCAGAGCATCCAGCAACTGCCTCTCTGACCTGGACTTCCTAGTCTTGAGGCGTCCCTCACTCCCAGGAAAGTCTGTTGATTTCTTTTCTGGTTTTACTTCCTGGCTTTTTGGGTTCACCTGAGCCCAAGTGCTACCAGCCCAGAGATGGACAATAGCAGTTGGGGAAGAAAAGAGGAGTTATTCCACCTCTGAAATCATCTTACCCTTATCCTGAGGGAGTCCCAGGCCAAGAGGGCAGGAGCAGGAGGACCAGGGGTCCAGAAACCCTCTGTGGTAAGGGAATCCTGGAGGAAAGACAACCCTGGCAGAAAACTACCAGCAGGAGCCTCCAAGCTGAGGGGAAGACTTTCTGCTTTCCAAGAATCCGGCACTTTCTGAGGTTGCAAGGTCTTAATCCTGGGCTTTTAAAGCTGGATTAGTACTCGTGGGCACATCAGCAGCATCTGGTGCCAGTAACGTCCGGGTTTCGCTAGAGGTGGGGATGATCGCAGCCCAGTTTGGATGTTTGGATGTTTGCCTTAGCGAGAAATTGAAATAACAAGAGGGGAGCCCATAGGGTCCTGGGCGAACCCTTCTCCCCTTGCCCTATTCAAAGTTGCGCTGGGCTGCGCGCCCAGGTCAATGTCAGTAGGGCTCCCTGGTCAGACCCCGCGAATAGGGCGTTGAGAGTTCTCAGGGGTTGCCAGATCGGGCTTCTTTTCCAGTGCCCGACTGTCAAGTTGAAAGATTAAAAAAAAAAAGCAACTATTTGTAGTGCAGGTGTGTTACCAGAAGTGGCTTCGGCGGCACAGAAGCGATAACATTGTGTGGCGGCGGGGGCACAGGCCAGGCCGGAACTCGCCTCCAGCTCTGGGCGGGGAGGAAGGGAATTGGGGGCTGCTCTGCGTCTCCGCCTCCCGGCTGGGAAAAACTTGTTACTCGCTGGCGCTTATGGCCGGGGGAACCCAGGATTCCCTTTTCCCTGAGTCTACAGTGCAGGAAGGACGCGATTCCCTCTGCAAACTTAATTTCCCGTGAAGCAGCGAGAGGAAACCTTTGTAAACGTTTTTGGTTAGTAAAAAGCAAATTAGCATCTCAGAACTTCTCCCAACTGCTTGGCTCCAAGGAGGGGTGAGCGGCCAGCCTTCAGTCTAGCGGTGAGCTCCTCGCTTTGCCCTACACCCTTCCTGTTCACCTCCACCGGGTTTCCTCCACCAGGGCGGCGGGACAGTTTTCAGGCTTAGATGGATGCAGTTTTCCTTTCCTTTCCTGCCTTTTTACATGTACCTCGTGACCCTGAGAGGGTCTGTGTTGCTCTCAGGAAGCCTCTAGTGCAGGTCTGGGGGAGTGAGATGCCTGGAGCTACTAAGGAGCTCTTGGGTCTGGGACAGAGACATCCTGGGTGCTGCTAGTTCTTGGCTGCTAGATAGCCCGCTGGAGAAGGATCCCGAGTGTCCGAAGCCCTGAACCTGGCTGACACTCTGTTTTCTAGAGGTGGCGCATACCGGCTGCTTTGGGGGCTAAGATGGGCCCAGCACACAGGGAAGGAATAGGTTTAGGCTCCTAGGAGGAGAACTGCTGGGAACGATGCCCTCAAAGGGACCTTAAAAGCGCCTCTCTGCAGGTGGCCTGGGATAATTTAGTTCGACCCAGTGGTATCCAAGGGGGTTGAGGACTGGAACCTAGAGACAACCCGGGGAGGGGGGCGCTTACTCTTTGAGGTAGGGCCAGCGAGCCCAGAGATGGAGAGGAGAAAGAGGAAAAGAGCCAGGCTTACCTGCCCACTGGCCTTTCCACGCGTGAGCTTTAGTGGACTTCATCCATGGGAAAGGTAGCTGAACTCGACTGGGCTCCTCCAGGGTCCCCGGCTCCGTTCCATCCGGGTAGGGCCCAGCGGGCGGGTGGGGGAGCGCGAGCTGGGCAGGGATGTGGTGGTGGAGGTGCGCCACGGCCGGGTCTTCCGCAAGGGGGGGCACCTCGTACGGGGAGATGTCCGGGGGACTTCCCTGCTCCAGTGCTCCCAGGGAGCCGGGGAACTGGGAGGGCGGCGGCGGTGGGGGTTGACGGCTCATGTACAGGCATGCTGGGGGACTGGGGCTGAACTCCGGCACTGGGCCCCTTTGGAACGCGCATGGGTCCTTGTAAAGGTGCGTGGCTGCGTAGTACTGCTCCTCGCCGTTCATGGTCGTAGCTGGTGCTTGGGGACCAGGAGCCTCGAGAAGGCAGCTGCAGCCCGGGACTTGACACTGTGCGGCGCTCCCACTCCTGGCGCTACCCCTGCTCGCTTTGACAGCTCTCCACTGTTCTCAGGGGGAACCTGCAATCCGCAGCGACAGGCGGGCCGTAGGCAGCGCCATAGGCTCCGTCGTGCCCCACGTGGCTCAACCTGGGGCCATTATTGGCCTGGCTGACTGCCTTAAGAAGCGAGACCTAGGTACGCGCGAGCACCTGCGTTTATTTCAATTTTCTCTCTTAGCTGACTTTGCTGCATATGCCTGGATGGCTCTCCAGAGTAGGGTGAATGAAATTGTTAGACCTTCTATTTATTTATGGAATCTTTTCCATCGTGCTTTAAACGTTTATATTTTTCCTTGTATTTTCTATAATGCAATAATAATATTAGTTAATTAATATAATTCCTAAATAGGCATGTTGAAATTGTAATTTTTTAAAAAGTTGGAGAATACAGTCGAAAATTTTGTAGACCCCAACTCTAGGTAGAAAGCAGTTGTTTCTATTTTGATTTAACCCAGGGCTCCTAGCTCCCGTTTTGAAGAAATCAGGAATTTTTTTTTTAATTTAAGGGTATCAGTAATTTTGATTTTAGGAACTGGGATCCATTTGACCACTTTCTATTGTGGTGTGTGAGAGAGAGAGAGAGGGAAGCAAGGTCCCTCTGTGGTTGAGAGGCCAGGCAGAGGCTGGCACAAGGACCTCAGATCCTTGACAACTCTCCGTTCCAGGATCTCCGGACCCTGGCCAAAGAATGCACCGCCCCCACCTTCTGATTGAAACAAGGCAGGCTGGCAGAGGCCTCAGGTGTTTACAAACGAAATAAAAACTGCATTTGCGTGACAACATCTGTGAGTAGCTTCGACTTATTCGGTAACTTCTGGGCACTATGGGGTCCTGACTTAAACCAGTCACGTTTTCACACCCACTGGCGGGGTGTGAAATTCAGCAATGATGGCGCCCATTCCCCCGGCCAGGGCAAGACCAAGGATACTGACTCGCTGGCGCTGTGCGGTGGAGCCAGTCTCTGACCCCGTCCTCGCGAAACGCCTACCTTCCTTCAACCGCCAGGGAGGGTTTTGGGAAAACTGTCCATCTGTGCAGAAAAACCTCTGCAAATGATGGTGTGAATCACAAGCATCCAAGCAAGAGAAAAATCATAGGAGACCAGACTCTCCTAACTAGATCATTGCGAGTAGGTTTAATATATTTTATCCCACTGGAAATATTTGCATTTTAAATGCGTAGGGATGAAACCATTATTCTGAATACTCTTCATTTTCATTAAAAGACAAAAAAAAAAGCCAGTTGGGAATGTGGATTTCTCTTCAGATTCTTTCTCTCGTGGGGTACCGGTGCTGTCTTGCCATTTGCTTTACTAAGAGTGTGGGCCACTGAGTAGCCGCTGAGTCCACTGAGTAGCCTGGGAACGTGTGCGGCTCCCAGGTTTGTTGATGCCGGGGTTCCCAAGGGCAGGCCAAAGGAAGCCTGGCGGGCGAGCGTAGTTAAGGCGATTTCTTCAGGGAAAAGGGCCACCTGTGGCCACAGGAGACCAGGGAGTGAAAGGTGGTCGACCCGTGCACCTAATCTCTACGCGCCTAAGTCAATGAGTCCATTGTTCGCGGTGGCCGCGGAGGAACTGACGCTATCATTCGGCCCGGAGTGACCACATCGATCAGTAGGACAGGGCGGGACAGGGGTTGCCCAGCCGCTGCGTGTTGACCCTCGGAGATAATCTGCCGAGTTGACTTGGCTACGCGGTTATGAGCGGACCGGGAGCTCAGCTCGGGACAAAGATCGGCCACCTCTCCCCTCCCCCTCGTTAACCCCCCACCCCACCCCGCTCCTCCCCTGGGCACCCGCCCTCCTTGGACTCAGCCTGTGCCCCACCCCCTCCCCGGGTCCTTCGGAGTGTTTACTTTGCACTTCTCATCTAATTGCACATTTCTGTAAATTGGCCTCCATTTCGATGCTTCATTTGCTCCCATTTAATATTTCGCTCGACCCTGCAGAAAGGAAAGAGGCTTTCAGCACAAAGTAAATTCGCCCGCTGAGCTTGTGGCAAAAAATTGGGTACCTTGGTCTGAGCACAAATTTGGGGCGGTGGTGGTGATGGTGGTGCTGAAGGTGATGGTCGCTAGAGTCACTTTCTCACTTTCACCAGTGGCATTTTCTGCTTTTTGCTTCCTAAAAGAGGCGCCGGAAACAAAGGTCCTTCAGCCATTTAGTATTAGGTAGTGCAAGGCTAGCAGGACTAATTATCACGTACATCCATACGAAAAATGCATCCCGCAGAACCCTCCACTGAGCAAGATCATGTATTTCTCTGTGGATCTAGGTCCTGGTACCATAAAACCGCCAAGTCCATTACAGGTGAAATGCGTTTCCGCTCTGGATCCCCGCTGACGCCTGTGCCCCCTGCACGCCGCCTCGCCTCCCAGAGGCCTGGCCACGATACCGAGCCATTAGGCGAGCGCCTTCCCGAGCCATTTAACAGCAGCACTTATGGATAAATAAACAAAAAAGGCTGTAAACCAATTATAGTGTGGACAGTGAAAAAGTCGTTTATTAGCAGGACGTCCTGATAGTCCTCGCTGATATTGGAAGTCCTCGCCTGCCCTCTTCCCCCTTTCGCGGAGATTCGGTTTGCGCCGGGGAGAACCAGGTTGCCTTGTTTTTAGTAAGTGACCAAGTCTTCCTAGGTGGTTTCACAGGCCTGTCAAAGGCGGGTTTTGGCTTGGTGCTAAGAATTTTTAAGCCACTGTATCCCATTCTAAATGTGTGTGTATGTATATGGGGGGGGGATAAAAAAACGACAAAAATAAACTTCACTTAACTCCCAGACTGAATTTATATGGAATTTGATTTACTAGAGCATATTCACTTAAAATTAATCTGTTGTTGAAAATAAAAATTAAGTTATATCCTGAGGTGAAAAACTTTGTAAATTAAGTATGATGCCCTTTAATGCCCTTAATGAGAATACTCCTTTAATAATTGACTTTTTTTTTGCAATATTGGGGACATAATTGACTTTTTACTTGTGTTCATTAGTATTGCCATTAATCGGTACTGATGTAGACAAGTTTTTGTTCCCCTAGGGCAAATCAGTTCATCCCTTCTGCTACTTTTGTAAATCCTGAGTTTGGTCCCCAGTTAGGAGAGGGCCAGCAAAAATTAACTGAGGGTTGAGGGAGGAAAGGACCTCCCACCTGGAATCAAAGGTTTCTGATTGACTCATAGGGCAAAACAATCTAGTAGCAATGACTAGAGAGTTGAAATTATTTTCCAGATAATTCAGCCCCTCCTGTTGTACAGAGAAATGCAACTTAAAAATTGAATTTTATTGGGCAATTGTCTTAATATCTTACTGGCTCTCTTGAATGTGAGAAAGGCAAACAAGGAGGTTCAGCATACCCCAGTACTGTGCAATGCTCATTCCCTCCACCTCCCAATACTTCCTTCCCAGGAGTGGGGGCCCCAGACACCTGTCCCATCCTTTTTTGGTTTAATGCTTCTGTGGCACTCAATTCACTTTGCTGCTGAATGTATTAAAGGAAGTTGAGACTCCTAAGGATTCACAGTCACTTTTGCATTCCCCCCCTTGGGCACCCCTGTGATCTGTTGCAGTTTGGTGTCCACCCTCAGGCCAGCTCCCATCCAGGAGCCCAGCCCTGGCTCTTTCATCCAGAGGGCAGTCTGTAGACGTCTCAGCCCTGGCTCACTCCCTTCTGATCTAAATCCTTGATAACCAGTTCCTTGCTTCCATTGAAATTCTCTCTTTTATATTCTACCCGCCCCCTCCTTCACTGCTTCCTGTGACTAATCCTTTGTTTTCCTGGGACGGTTTCCCATACCTCCAGATTCCTGCAGCAGCCTAAAGGAGGCTTGACCTACACCGCTGGGTCCCTGTAGCCATCTTCCTCCACCATCCTGCACTTAGCATGGTTTATTGGTATGAAGGGCCAATATTTTCAACCATATTTATTGATCAAATACATATACAGCCCTTATTGTGTGCCTTCCTAAAATCTCTTTGAGGGACACTTTGGTAGTAGAGATATGTTCTGGTATATGATAGAAAGCTCTTAAGAAGCTACATACACCTGCCTTGTTCAAGTTGTGTCTCCCTTGACAAGTTATAAAATTTCACTATGCTTCCCTATCCTTATTTGTAAAATATAAGCACAACACTGCCCCATAAATTGTGTCCATTGCATAGAGTAATAATAACAACAAATAAATGGAGTCAGTATTTGCTAATCCTCATGAAAATTCCATAAACTAGTTTCTTATTCCCATTTTGGCGGGTATTGGGAATTGAACCTAGGGCACTTTTATTACTGAGTTACATCCTTAGCCCTTTTTATTATTATTATTATTATTATTATTATTATTATTATTATTATTATTATTTTCTTTAGAGGCAGGGGTTTACTAAATTGCTGAGGACCTTGCTAAGTTGCTGAAGCTGGCCTTGAACTTGTGGTCTTCCTGCTTCAGCCTCCCAAATTGTTGAGATACAGGTGTGCACCACTGCACCTGGCTTCTCGTTCCCATTTTGCAGTAGAAGAAACTGACACATAGTGATGTTAAGTTACCCAGAGTCATACAGCTAGTAAGTGGCAGAGCCTAGGTACAAGCTGTGGTGCCCTACCTTTCGAATTCATCCTGTTGGCCAAGACTTTGCACTATCTTGCTATATAGTTTTTACTCAAGAAAATTTTAACTTTTTTGATAAGACTACAAAATCTCTATAGCTCTTGGCACTTGTAGGCACTCAGTTAATGGTCATCTCTTCATCCCTTAGCAGCACTTAGATACACCTATAAGAATTTACCTACTGGTCATTCTTGCATGCCCCCCAACTTGCAAACTGTTACCCCAAGCCCATGTCCACAGATATTCCTTGACAGGCAGACCTGGGAGGGTATATTTGGGAACACTGGGAGGAAGCACTGAGTGGGCTTAGTGCTTTAGGGGAACGTATATCCTCCAGATGGGGTCCT